TTCAAAGTTGGTGTCAAATTATAGTTTATAAAAATCTAAGATAGGAATGTAAAATCGGTTTTCCTCTAAAATTAACCGTTCAGGTTTTACAGCCTGTCAAAGTTGCAAAAAGTCAATTTTGAACTGTCATTATTTCCAAAACAGTTGAACTTAGGTATAGCATGACATGAAATCTGCTCAGAATTTTACGTAGAATCGAAATATGCAATCAAATACAGGGTGTTCCGTTTAAAATAGCGATGTTGCCACTAGTTTAGCGTAGAAGCGGCAACACCGCATAAACAAAAATATTTTTAAAGTGAAGATTATGGTCGTTTATCCCGGTTGCCAAATTTTCAAAATGATCCGCTTTTTAGTTCTCCATAAACGTCTAATACGCCATCCACCGTGGGACACCCTGTATATATTAATCCTTTATTTAGCACCTGGCTAATTACAAAAATAAATGAACATACAAGTCAAATTAATTATTACATACTACATAATACGCCTACTAAAATAAAATATCATGCAAGTAAATACAAATTACAATAATGCAAAATACAGTATAAAATATAAAATAATAGTTATTTATGTATCAAGGGTACTAAGTAGATGATTATGCCCCGAGGGCGACAGTCTTACAAAGCCGAGGGCCTCTGGCCCGAGGGTTCGTAAGTTGCCCGAGGGTATATATCTATTAGTACCCGTGGTGCATACAAACTTTTATTTTCTACTTTACTATTATAGATCCATAATACCTAGGAAACGAAATACGTTAACACACCTATAACAACCTGATCCATAACGCCCGCTTTTGCGGGCGTTATGATCTATAACGCCCGCTTATAATACCTTAAGGTGTTTATTTTCTACTTTACTATTATAGATCCATAATACCTAGGAAACGAAATACGTTAACACACCTATAACAACCTGATCCATAACGCCCGCTTTTGCGGGCGTTATGATCTATAACGCCCGCTTATAATACCTTAAGGTGTTTTTGTTGTTGTTGTTCTATTAATTTGCACTTTACCCTAGGCAGCCACTAAATGTCTGACCGAAAATAATTTTCGGTCTAGCCAGGATTCGAACCCGGTCTACCATCAATGTTTCCCATGTAGTCCAGCGCGTTAACCCACAGGACCACCACCGTTGCCTTACCTTATGAGATGTTTATAGATATATTAATTTATTTCGTTTCTATGTACAGGTCGCAGGTACAGGTACAGGTCACAGGTGCAGGTACATGTCAAAATACAAAACAATATTCTGTCACACAAGTTTAACTGATTTTGTTAATAACAAATTGATGAAAAAACATTGTGTTGAGTAGAAAATAAAGCATTGTATGCACCACGGGGATTTCAAGATTATAATGCCCTTCAGGCGAAATATATCCCTCGGGCCATAGGCCCTCGGGCTAGTTTCGCCTTCGGGCATTATAATCTACATAATCCCCTTGATACATAAATAACTATTATGTCATGCCTGCGCGGGCCATAATGTAATGAATTATATAGATGGTATCTAAGGTATAAAAACACAATAATGTACTGGTATGACATAAAAATATATAGGTAGCAACAATTTAAAAAACTACAATAGAATATAATATAATAATATACATAATTATATATGTCACTTGCGTCATTATCCTACATGCTCATTACATATTACATAATAAAAAACAAAAAAAATAAAAATCCTAAGTTTAAAATGTGTATAGTAAACAACAAATATAATGATTTACAAACAACATGCAAGTCTTGAAAAACACAGAAATCAAAGATATACCTACAAAATTCAACAAAAACAACAAAGATGAAACAAGTATTACTGTATTTGTATTATTCTCCCATAAGATGAATCTTTAACTTTCTTTTAAATAAATTAATATTTGGGGCGTCCTTTATTTGTTGAGGCAAAGCATTAAAATAAATTAAACCCTTATGGTATAAACCATTTTCAGTTCCTTTTTTATTTTTTGTTGTAACATAAAAATTGTTACGATTCCTAGTAGGGTACGAATGTACAGAAGAATGACTTCTTAATTTTTCAGTCAAATATGTAGGTGTTAGCTCATTTTTCATTTTATAAATTAACAACATATTTTGGTAAATAAGAAATTTTTCAGCAGAAAGCCAATTTAGTTTTCCTAACATATTTTTTATAGGCGTTTCACGCCTTTCACGTAATAGCTATTTACCTAACAAGTGCGGAAAATGAATTTTTCCGTACGCGGGTGCCGTTCACCGAACGACGCGTAGCGGAGTTCGGTGAAGTAGCCGAGTGAGGAAAAATATTTTCCGCAAGTGTTAGGTACAATATTTTTCCTACAGGCGTAAAAATGTAGAATTTTTCTCTTTTTTTTTGACAGCCGTGCGGTAAAAATTTTTCCGCACTGACAGCCATGCGGAAAAACTTTTTCCGCACTGATATGCGTGCGGTAAAAGTTTTACCGCACGGTGCGGGAAAACTCATTTTCCGCACGCATATCAGTGCGGAAAATCGATTTTTCCGCACGGCTGTAGGAAAAATAATTCTCATTGCCCTATTTTGCAATTTTTGCAACCTGTTCTGATCATTTTTGTTACACAGGTACAGGATCGAGGAACTAAAGATATAATGTGGTAAGATCAAAGTATTATAGATAGTAAGCTTGGTCCATTGTGACAAAAAAGATGTGAATCTACACTTTATTTTTTTCCAAGATAGATTTTGACATTGTCAACTTTGAAACATAAACAATGCCGCTAATGCCACGTATTGGCCGCTATTGTAAAACTGATGTCAACCTGCAGAAACACCTCATTTTGCGACTAATCAGGGTCAAGCGTTATTGTTTATGTTTCAAAGTTTTCAATGTCAAAATCTATCTTGGAAAAAAATAAAGTTTAGACAGAAAATTTACACCTTTGGTAATTCTTTCGATTGTATACAAAATGTGATCCCTAAATGTAAGTGAGGAGTCAACAAATCCAAGATATTTATGTGTCTCTACTCTTTCAATAATATGACTACTGATTTTAACATGAAGATTATTCTGTGTAATTGATTCTTTATCTGCTCTACCACCTTTTAACATAAATTTTGTTTTAGATAAGTTCAATTTAAGAGAATTAATATTGAACCATACTTGCAGGTGTTCCAAATCAATGTTCAAGGTCTCAACTAGGTCATTCATATCTTTAGACTTGAAATACAACAGTGTGTCATCTGCAAATAAATGGACTGAACATTATTTTATTGATCTGTTTATATCATTAATATAAAGGATAAATAGCAGTGGTCCCAAAGTGCTACCCTGCGGAACGCCTACGTCATTTAAAATTTCGGTCGAAGTATGTCCATTGATTTTGGTTACCTGCAATCTTTTGTCCAAGTAGTTACTAAGCCACTCCAATGCTTTATCAGCTATACCATATCTCTCCAATTTGGCTATTAACATAGACCTATTCACTGTTTCAAAAGCACGTTTCAAATCAAGAAAAACAGCACCAATTGCATAATTTTCATCCAGAAGATTTTTCCACTCATGAAGAATGTGCTGAATTGCAGTTTCACAGCTATGCAATTTTCTAAACCCAGACTGATTTTCTATCAATACATTATTTGCTATAATAAAACTAACTAGTTGACCATAGACCACTTTTTCCAGTAATTTCTCGATAGTTCCTAACATATTTACTGGTCTAAAGTCTTCAACTTTAATAGACCCTCTAACTTTTTGTATAAGAATAACAGTTGCCACCTTCAACAATGATGGAACCCTGCCAACCTCCAGTGAGCTATTAATAATATGTAATAAAGGATTTTTAATATTTTCAAAAGCGTTTTTTATGAAATCTAATGTTATATCGTCAGGGCTACCCTTATTTGGTGAGCTAAATAAAACCTCGTGAAGTTTTTCATGATCTATCATCTTGAACGAACTAAGGGTATCTTTAGGTTTATCAAATACATAATTTATTTCTGAATAAGTATTATCTATACTATCAACTATGTGAAGCACACTATTAACAAAATATTTATTTATCCCATCTGCCATTTTTTCTGAAGAAATATAAGTTACCCCTTCTATATCTATTTTTTTCATTTTATTCCCTTTTTTGTCAGAAATTACTTCACTTAATGTCTGCCACATTTTTCTTGGATTATTCTTTACATCATCAATTTTATTGTGATAAAATATTTTCTTTTCTTCCCTTATTACCATTAAAACCCTATTTCTACACTGTTTATAGATATTTTTGTTTTCCTCCGTTTTACTTATTTTATAATTTCTGTATCTATTATCTCGGTCAATAATTGCTTCTTTAACCCTTGCATTAAACCATTCTTTATAATAGTATTTTATCAGTTTTTGTTCTCTTGGTGCTATTTCATTTAGCACCTTTAAAAGTTGACTATAAAAGATGGTATATTTAATATCTATACCATTATTTACCAGATAATCCCAATCAATTACACTAAGAGAATTATTTATTCTAAAATAATCATACCTTACCTCTTGTATTTATTACATTATTCTGCCTTTTAATTTTATTTAAATTTAAATTCATTACAACTATAAAATGATCACTTATTCGTGGAGTTTCCTCTACAGTACAACTTAAAATCTCCTTCTTATTTGAGGAAACCATATCTATAATACTTCCACCCACCTCTGTAGAATGAGTAACTTTTTTAACCAACTGTTCCAATCCTACATCAAGAGCAATTTTTTTTAATCTTGTAGAATAAGTGTTGTTATTTAACCAATTAATATTAAAATCACCTACTATTATAACTGGATGACCAATATCAAGCAATTTATCGCAGATCTGTTCGAAAAACATCAAAAAATCAGCATGACTAGACTTTATTATATCCCTGCTAAGTAAATCTCTAGTAAACAATGAAAAATGCCTTAAGAAACTTTCATGAAGAAATATGTTTAAAATTTAAATTTTACACATAATGAAGTTGTGCAAGTAAATAATGACCAACTCCAAATCATTTTTTTCTGTTTTCAGGAGCAAAAATGTCACCGTTATGGAAGAAAACACAATAGGTCTTCTGTGAAATGGGTGGTTCGGTTAGCCAAGTGTTCCAATCGGGAAGTGCACTACTGACTAACGGTCACGGACACAAAGTTTCAGATTCGACCAGACAGAAAATTCAAACGATTTTCGATGCCCTCACTGCGAATCCTAAAATTGGGGTGCAGAGATTGGAAGGATTGCTTCTTCAAATTCCAAAGGTAACTGATGATGATATAGAAAATGTTTTTTGCTACTTATGAAATGTTTACCTCAGTGAATATTTAACAGAATTTTATCTCACAATGAGTTTTCCAACCAAAATTTAAGCGCTCGATATTAATTTTGGATGTTGTCACTAAACTTAATGCTCGGCTGGTTCCAGAGTTATTTACAGGGGTCCTCAAACCCTCTCTAACATTTTTATAAACCATCCTTTGCTTCATTTTTGACTACTAATTAGGAAATTATGTTAAATAAGTAAAGTCTAAAAACAAGGAGGGAGAAAAAAGACTTGACACTACTATATATTGTAAAAATTACCTATTTTCTTTTTTTGTTTCAGAATGAAAACATTCTAGCAATTCACGACGAAACAGGCTACAATTTATTACAAAAATGCGTCGGTGCAAATAACGTGGAATTAGTCCGTTGGTTATTAGCTCGACACAGTGCTGCTGATGTGAATAGATTTCCCTGTAGCTTACCTCTGCATATAGCTTGCTTGAAAGGGTAAGGAAGCAAAGGTTCAAGAGGATAAATTAACTCAATTTTCCATTGTAGTCATGAAGAATGTGTAGAGCTTCTTTTGAAACATGGCGCGAAAATCGATGTTGAGGCCAGAATGTGCTGGCCTGGTCCTCATAGTAGTAATTGTGAGGAGAGAGGAAAATATTGTAAGTACTTTAAGTTGTTTTTTTTTATTGTTAACTCATAAAGCTAGCTTTATGCTATGCACTACATATTTATATTGTAATTGAAACATATTATATTGATGGGTTATATTCTGAGGTAGATTAGATTACCTTGTGGGGTATTTATCGAGCTCACAGCAACACGACTTGGTTGGTGTATTGTGCTTTCTCAAATTGATACTTTTCCTGGGATCCGTAATTGATTTTAAAAAGCAATCGATAACTTGGTAAATAAAAAGCAGTCCAGTGTCTTAGCAACATCTGGCAACTTCATGCTAATAAAGAATAAATCCGAAATTTGTTATTCTTTATTACAGGCATTACCATACCTTTTTAATGGATTATTTCAAATTTCATTTATATTCTAATCCAACAGTGGGATTATTAGCTGTGAACATACAATTTGTTCCGTTTATCCATCCGAAGCTTTTCACTGGCTTCAGCAGGCGAGAGTTGTAATTGAGTATTGAATAATTGAATTAGATATTCAACGTTTATAGGTTTTCTTTGGGGATTAATTAGGCAGTAAATATTTTTCATCTAGGATCTTCATGTATTGCACCACCCATTTAATAATAATAATTTTATCATTTCATTAATGACACAATTATTTCAGGCTTTTTGTGTATTTGTAAAAATGTAAAATGGTTCATCCGTTGATAGATAAATAATTAAGCTCAGAAACTAACTTAATTTAATTTAATACCAACGAGGTAATTATCCAAAAGCATGAAAAAGAAAGTAATTTTGTTTTGGTTTATGGGTTTACTCATATGATTCATGATTCTATTGTATTTTATAGTGACCTCCATTATTTGTGACACTTCACTTGTGAAATGTAAATATCGCTTTTTTTTAAAGGTGCAACAATTCAGCAAGAAGAAAGCTGCATAGAAAGAGACTCCAGAGACAACAGACCTCCGAGTAAGCTTCAGTCTGCAATTTATTATGCTTTGGACGGTGATCAAGTACATACCCTCGTTATGTTAGCACAGAGAACTGAAGACCCTTGGGTAATACCAAAATTATCATTTCACCCACTAGTTACATAAAACGACGGTTTTTTAGAATGGAATATTTCGTGCTAGAAAACCTCTATTGCATGCAGCTTGTGAGCGTAAGGCATGGACTTGTACGGAATATTTGGTGCAAGAACGCACTGAAGAAATTCACATTTTGAAAGACGAATATTATCCTATACATTATGCTGCTTCGAACGATTTGAAGTTTTTGGAGCTGCTTATTGCTGCAGGTGCTGATACCACTGTTCGGACTTGTACCCAACAGATGACGTTACTTCATGTTGGTAAGGACTTTTGGCATTGTCTCCTTAAAAACATGTTTGAGAAGTTGAGAACATTAATTATTATGTGTTGTAACTAATAATTTTTTTTTCAGTTCTTCTTGTTGCTCACAAATCCGCCGAAGATACAATAGCCACCATACGCCTTCTACTAGAACATGGCTGCAAAGAACTCATAAATGCCCCAGACAGCTTAGGCAACACACCATTGCACGCCCTCATAGTACGTTATGCCCTAGAAGAGGCCCAGTATGGGTACGATAAATGGAACAAATGGGACGTGTTGCATTTGGTGAGGTACCTCATCCAGGCTGGTGCCAAACAATCCATAAATCATTCGGGAAATTCGGCCTTGGCCTGCGTGTTGAGGCACGTCAGAGACTGGGACGTATGCTACGAGTTACTTAATATGTTATTGCATGAAGATGGTAAGGAATAAGGATTTTGATTTTGTTTATTATTATACATCGATTTTGACATTGTTTAGCAATGCATTTTTTGTTAAATTGTTTAAGTTAGTTTATTTCATAGTTAGCTTAATTATCATTTTCTGGAAAAGACCTAATTAATCCTCATTAATAAGAGTTAAAACTATGTTTGCTGAATAATGTATATTATATAAAAATATATTTTAGGTAATCCAAATGAAGTTGGCCGAGATGGCTCTGTTCCCTTGATGGTATGCTTGGTACCGTTAATAAACAAGGACCCTTTGCACCATTTCACCCACAATATGAAAGTGAGTATATTGCATTATAAATCTTGAACATAAATAATGCATTTTTTTTAGGTTTGTTATTTAAACTGCATCAGAATCCTCCTGGAAAAAGGTGCCAATCCAAACTGTAGTTACCGAGCTAATCTCACACCGTTGCACGTGTTAGTGTTTACAGTATCCGAAAACATTACACTAAATTGTGACGTGCAAAAGCAAGTGAATTTTGAGTTTATTAAGAATCTATTAATCTTACTATTAACACATCGTCTCGATCCTAATGTGAAAGTCAGTACACGTACGCAACATATTTTACAATCTTGCATGGACATGATACAAAATGTACGAGACTGTAAAGATATTCATTATGTGTACGATTTAACATTAACATTAATTCAATATGGAGCAAATCCTGATTTAATACTAAGCATGTCGGAAGCAATAAAAAATCACTCGTTACACTCGCAGAGCATTTGGAAAACCAAAAATTACATTCTCTATTATTACATAATGTTAATATCACGTAAAGAAAACTTAATAATGGATCCTAATATGACGTTTTCCAAAATAATCATGCTACTTTATTTTGTAATGCAACACAAACCGTTATTTGAGTGTTTGAAAATTTTGCACACTCAACAGTTAAGTTTAGTTCCTGGTAAAATGACAGAACCTTTAACATATATTATAAGAGACTTGTATAGCAGACCAAGAACTTTGAAGCAAATTTGTCGAGTTAGAATTCACAACTGTTTGAGTCGCAGACCTGGATTGTTTTTAAATAAGTTAAATTTACCAAATCAGTTGAAGGATTATTTATTGAGTTTTGATCCGTGAGGTTTTTCTTTGACGACATAATATTATATGATGTAGGAAGAAAGTTCAATTTTTAAATTTGCACTGTTTTTCTACATCCTGTGTTGTTATTGAAAATTGAATTGTTGTCTATTAATGAAAAAAATACTGTTAACGTTATTGTTATATAATTTTTTATACTTGTGATATTCGATTAAATTATAATAGGCTAGACCTCAATAGTTTTATTTACAGTCCCATCTCTAGATTATCTGGCTGCTGCTGCTAGCCTGGTCTCTTAGAAGAAAAATATTTACAACAGTAACTTGGAGAAATGGAGATATAATGTTTCTTTATTTTATGGAGTATGTGCCGCCATCGTGTTTAGAATTCGCCGAGTCAATGTGATAGTTTGATTAGGGTCTTTGATTAGGGGTTAAAAACGAAGAGTTCCGTCACTACACACTGTATGACCGGTTCTTGCAAAGGTGCCATTAACATTTTGGAAGCAAAAATTGGCATGTCCTGAAAAGACCAAGTTTAACTGATGATTAGAAATAGAAAGGAAAGTGAAAATACTGTAATGGAATTTTTGGAGTTATTATAAAGAAAATTCAATTACAAGAAAATGTATTTATTTATTTTTCTACTGACATTTCATAATACGCTATTAAACGATTAAAATCTGTATCATAATGAACTTCATTACGATACAGATTTTCATTATAATACTCATTTTTAATATTATACAATGTTGATAGATGGCAGCACTAGTTAATATATTAAACATTTTAAACGGTAATTTTGCATAAAAAAATTATTTTAATAACTATAAGAAAGACTCCGAATTGTTTAAAAGTTACCTGAAGTTTGGGACAAAGAATAATTATTATGGAAATAATGAATGATAAGGAAGAATTTTTACTTTTTTCATTATTATACATTGTCAATAGATGGCGCCATCAGTTAAAAAAAATTGAACTTTATTTTGTTGAATGTTGGCAGCACTCTGTTTATAGCTTTTCTATGGTAATTTAGCGAAAAACAATAATTTTATAAACAAAAATACCTCAAATTGTTATTAAACGTTAATACCTTAAGTTTGGGAGAAGGCATTATTATGGAAATATTGAGCGTTAACGAAGAATTTTCACTAACACCTCCAGAAATTACAGAAAGGGCGACAAATGCAGGTAATAATATACTACCGGACAAGTCCAAGAAAATTTACAAAGAATTATATGGACAATTTATGGATTGGAAACACCAAAAACACATCATCCTTCTCAGAAAATGTTTTGATAGTATATTTTGAAGAATTACAACAAAAAATTAAACCTTCAACTGTATGGATTACTCAATTATGAAATCTCTATTCAAAGTTAAGCATAATGTTGACATATCTATAAAATATCATAAGTTTTATCAATGGCAGTAGAAAAAATAGTGTATGCAACTCTCATGTAATGGCCATTAATACATGATCATTGCATAATATACTATTATTTCATTCAACAACAATATAATACGCAGCAAGAAGATGATGATGAAACAATATGCATATAATAGACATGCGCGTCTGTATTAACAATAAACAAATTGTATGCCGACCTACTGAATCTGAGAGAGGTAAAAGGTCATTGGATGAGAGACAATATGGAATCTGCTCTAGAAATGCTTCAGGCTGATAATGGAATATACGAGAAAGCACTAAGACAACCAAATAAAATGGATTAAAAAAAAAATACATCACTATCGCAAGAATAGAATTAGGCACACAAAATGAAGTAACAAACAGCAGGATTACTAACACTGTTGGCAATAATATTTGCAACAAATATAACAACAGAAATTAAATCAAAAAGGAAAACATAAGTTCACAGACAATGATTATGTTGTGGTTCTGGTAAAGTAGATCCAGAAATTAAAGGTGTTCAAAAAGTTTTTAACGCTGTTAGGTACCTAACAAGTGCTTCTTTACAAATTTGGTAATATGTTCCACCCCAATAAATAGCTTGTCAGAAACTATCTCTTCAATAAACAAAGAAATTTATGACATTTTCCCTAAATTGGGACAGTCCTCCTTCTCCTGAGAATCTAGTTCATGTAGAAAAGACTTTATCAAACAGAAATATGTACTCTAAATCTAGTAGTCTCAGTACCTAGTAATTGTGATAGTGATAATCAGTCTTTTTTAGTGAGTCCAGACAAAAAGACTTGCAACCTAATGTTAATAAATATAAAGTATGTGTCAAATAAAGTGGACAATCTTTTGCTGTTTCTGAATTGTCATAAAATTCCTGAGATAGTTGTTATTGTGGAGCACTGGCTAAAACCAGATGAGACAATTTATGTACCAAACTATGTTAGTCTCTAAGTTTTCTAGAACCCTGCACTTTAATTTTAGATAGGAGGAGAGAGTGTGCGAATTTTCAATTGTACTTTGCGCTAGGCTGAAATTGTATGTTTTGGGTTTTTACTGGCGAATATAAATCTCTTGTTTGAAAAGCTGGATACCTCTCAGAGGTATCCAGTAGGCAACAAGAATAACCCCTACTACCTCTATGCTGATAGATTATGTCTGCTCATCATTTGGTCAGATGAAAGGTTTGATCATGAAGCAATATTCTGTTCATTTCCAGTCAATTCCGCTAAACCAAGAAAAATCTTAAAACAAGGCAGACTTTTCACTAAGAAAAATTTTAGAAAGTTTGAATTGCTATGCAATCAAACGGACTAAAATAGAATATTTTCTACTGAAGACTCTCTGGAGCACTTTCATCTACTTTTAAGCAATAACTTTAACATTTCTTTTCCTATTGTCAAGATAAATCATAAGAGGCTCAATCCCTGGTACACAAGGGGTTTGAGAACATCGGCTGCTAACTTAGGATCTATGTAATATATTGGAAAAGTTCTATAAATAAAATGAAACTTTTATTAGTTATTATATTGAAATATACCGTAAAACTTACAGAAAGGTGGTTAACGTGGCAAAAAAGGTTATTCTATGGGAATCAAATTGAACAGTCTTGCAATAAAAATAGAGAATCATGGAAACTTATGTAAATAAGTTTAGAGGTAGATTATTCGTCCATGGTTTCCACAAATCTCAGAGCAAATAGGTTGAATTCTTTTAACTTTTATGCTATACTTTTTATGTTTTCAGGTATACTTTACAGTAGGCCAGGAAGTTAGGATTATCAGAAAACTTTTTCATGTAGTTAAGAGACCGCATATTTGCAAATGATGTTTTATTGCCCCTTGTAAGCTAGGGCTTGCGTTTCTTACTTTTACATTTGATCCATCTGTTTTTCGTTTTTCCTCTATCCAGCAACATCTGTGGAGATTAAAGATATATTTAAAAAGATTAAAAAATAAGAACTCTTGAGGATGAGATAACATTTCGCTAAGGGTAGTCCAGGCGCTTTCAGACTTGATATTGAATGCGCTGGCTGGAGCTATCAATAATTCCTTTGCAACTGGATAACATCCAAATTGTCTTAAAAGGGCTCTGATTGTTCCATTGTTCAAGGGTGGAGATTGCGACAGACGTTCTAATTTTCGACCCATTGCACTACTTCCTACCCTCTCTAAGATATGAGCAAAACTAATTCAAGTTCGGATTCCAAGCGGAGAAAAGCACAAATGATGGGATTTTTAACTTTCTTGAGCATCATACATACACTTATTGAACTAAGGAGAAAAGGTTCCGGGGTTGTTCTGTGATCTGTTCAAGGCATTTGATTCTGTAGATCATAAAATACTATTTGGTAAACCTAGTATTCATGGTATTAGTGGTTTGGCTTTGGAGTGGTTGCGATGTTATTTGAGTGGTAGGACTCAGTCACTTGTTTTCAATGGGGAAAGCTCTTCGGCGGAATCTGTGAGTATCGGCATCCTTCAGGTCTCATTTATAGGACCACTTTTGTTCTTAATTTTTATCGATGACATATCTTCCAATAAGAATAAGGGTAAGATTTACAGCGTTTGCGGATGATCAGACAATTCTATGGCATGACCAGTAAGTTAACAGGCTTTTGAAGATTATTCGGGAAGATTTTTTTTGAAAGAATGGTTTGATGCAAACCGATTATCCCTTAATATTTCGAAAACTAATATTCTTAATTTTAAATATGACATTTAACTGGAAAATAAAGGTCCCTCGAATCGAATGAATTTCTTGGCTTAACAATAGATAAAAACTGAACATATCAAATTTCTCAATGCACTAGAGTAATATCAAATAGATAATAACCTCGGCCTTGAAATAGCTAGGAATGCCTTCTTTTCTTTATTTGAATCACATTTATCCTATTATGGCATATGCTACTGGGGCTGTTGTGTGAACTCTTTTCTTTAAATTTGTATTTGTATCGCAGAAGAGAGCACTTAGAAATGTATGTAGTCAAAAAAGGATCTCTATTTATGCAGCATAAAATGTTAACCTTGTGCTGTAAGCTGTAGGTACCTAAATGTATTCTTGGAAGTGTAAGTATTGTCTTCAAAAAATTTAATGAAGAGCTGGATACACACGGGCAGTATGGAGATCGTCACCAACGGGTACTACACTTGCCCATTCCACATTTTTGACACTAGTAAAGAACTCCTATGTCTACAACGCAAAAAAAAAGTTTAATGCTTTGCCTACTGAACTTAGGAAACTTACAGGACTACAGGTTACAGAAGGTTACGGTGTATGACCAAGGGGTTTTTGGTCTCTAGACAAAACTTTTATTTCAATTGTTTTACAGTACTTGTTAGAGCTTAATTTCGTTTTGAGCTGGATGTCATTAGGTTCATTCTATGAATTAAATTGAATTGAATTGAAAAAAAAATGATTAATAAATATTGTAAGGCATACCTAAATATCTGGGACACATCGCTTGTTAACATTTAGACTAGTGGGCGTTCACATTGACACCGCTCGAGCGGTGAGCGTTGCGCGATGCCGCTGTAGCGATGCCCAAAAATAATTTTAACATTATATTTCAAATGAATATGTTAACACCTCGCAACACGCCGCCTCAGTGTGAACTTGTTCATTTGAAATATAATGTTAAAATTATTTTTGGGCATCACTAAAGAGGCATCGCGCAACGCTCACCGCTCGAGCGGTGTCAATGTGAACGCGCACTAAGATTTGCTATGATTAAAGTAGGAAATAGATGTCGCTTTGACGGTTGCTCACTATAAACCGTGAGCATAGCAGAACATGACGTCGTCAACGAGATCAAGAAAA